ATTCCATAAGAAGATCATACAATTGATCTCGCGTAATTGAAATGAATAAACGAATCTACACAGCTGTATGACATCAAGTAAATGCAACAAATCGCCACTCGTATCTTTGATCCCGTCTTTGTTTTCTTGCCCTCTGCGGCAATGTGTTTGATTCGTGCATTGCGCTTATTCAAGGTAAATGTTTCACGCGAACTCTCTAAAATCTGATCGAAACTTGTTCGGCTAAAACGCGGAGTCGCGAGGAGATACATAGCGCGTCAGCGCTACGCCTCTCCGTAGCTGCCGAATGGGGTTTCTCGTTAAACCGTATGAAGTACCGCGTTTCAACCACGGCAGGGTTTCTCAGGTCGACTTCTTCTCCCAGGTATGAGCAAACATTTGCTTTCCGTAGTATCAATCCGCGGCAGGGACGCGCGACTAAGAGAGGTGGGGGGATCGTTACGCAGGAAGTATCTGCAGGGTCGTTCCGGAGCGGATCGGGCGGCGTAAAGAGGACATAAAGCACCCCGAGCTCCATTACTCCGCCTTAGTAAATCGGTACCGACGCTGAAGATCGCGCGCGCGACCCAGTTCCGGCCCCGTCCCTGTTGTACCTAATACCGTATTTTATCAAAGATAATGCGCGCCCCTGCCGTTGAATAGACACCCGTATTGTCGCCATGGCCACGCGTAAATGTCCGCTAAAGGCCACGAAAACGGCTTTACAAATTGTTTCCCGGCTATCGCGGCGGATCGAGGGGGAGGGGGAATTTGAAAAATGGATTCTCGATAAACGAAGGCTATTTGTTGCCTTAAACAAGCGTATTACACGTATTAATAGCGCCGTCATATCCGGTTATTGATGAAAATGCACTTTTCCCGTCGTTTCTTTTTGCTCGGTGAATAACAAGACGTACACGATCGCGATAAAAAAAGCAAAAGATTAATATATTTTTTCTACTGTCAAGTTCCTGGAGTTTCTTATCGATAACATTTTTCGATTTCTCCTGTCTCTTCTACTGCTTTATGATGTTACACTAATGTCAATTATCGACTTAATGAAAAGTGCCGACAAATCGTTTAAAACACGAGTGTGAGCTGAAAATACCTAATACTTGATTCGTACAATAACATTATGCCAATTTAAACATTAAAAATTGAGAAACTAAAATCGCTGCAATGATATTAAAAAGCATTTGGGTATTGACGGGAGCCTTCTTCTCAGTTTTTCTAAAGAAACTGATCAAAAAAAGAATAGTATTCAAAGAATGTACAATGCGAGAAACAAACAGTGAAAACTATACGACTAAGACAAAGTAAATCACATTATTTAAATATCAAAGGTTCGATAATATAATAAAAATATTGTAGGAGCTAGCGAACCAACACGCCGGTGTACGTGTTAAAAAATGTTTTTCTATTTCTATAAACAAAATCAATACAAACGTTTCCACCTTAAGTCATCTTTAGTGTATTGTAAGAATGACGAATTTCGAATTACTTCGGCGTTACTTGGGCTAGTACGCTGAGAAAAATTTCCACCGGATAAACCGATTAAATAGCATTTCCGGTGGTTAATTTTTCCGATTAAATTATGGACGCATCCAATGAAATTTGACTGGAAAACCGATCATATTTTTCATCGGATATACAATTTAATTGGATTATCCAAGTATATTTATTCGGATATTTTTCTCAGTGTAATTATGAAATATGTCGTATATTCCGAAACAGTAACATTTTTTATATATAATGTTGTAGAGGTATGTTAATCGCAAAATACGATGGAATAATTGTTATGTAGAAAATCAAAAGAGATAGGTAGGTATATTTCCGACGGTTAGGAGTATGCGGCTATTGGAGGACCGTGTGAGAAATACTCGCGGAAAGGACCATTGGGGTAACTCAGGTCCCCCCAGTTGAACTTTTATTCTACTGAATCAATAAATCTAAAAATACGCATTCTAGAGTTTTTAGAGTCACTACTTTCAGATTTCATGTCAAAATTAATCTAAATCCATTTCAAAATCTACATTTACAGACTCGAAATGAATTGTAAGAGATAACAAATGTTCCTTTCAACGGAATCAAAATTGCGTCATGAGACTGTGTAGTGTTACGTTAGCTAGACAACAAACGAATGTTAATACAAAGCAAATGCTTTTACTTTTATTTAGCGGACGAAATACCGGGGGTAAAATGTAAAAATAAAACTGTTAGAGCGTTTGCTTGTGCTCGAGGCCAAAAGTAAGCTGCGCATGTAAAATGTAAATAAAACGAAACACGTACCGTCTGAGGGAGAAATAAATCGTTCCTAATATAATAAGATGTATTCCTTCTTATTTCGCATTGCGCGAAATCGTAAGTGTATTACGTGCGCGCGACTCGTAAATTATAACGCTATAGGCGCGTTCAATATGGCTACGTTATGAATACCTATTATCACATCGATGAGGCAAGACGCTTTGTAAAGCGAAAGATTATTCATGAGAAACATAGGATCAGCTCTTGCTTTTCTTGTCCTATCTCCGCTAAAAGCACGCAATTTCCCTCATATTTATATATTATCATACGTTAACAAAGTTAGCATAAAGTTTCATGCGGTCGAGTCGTGAGTCAAATTAATGGAATTCATCTCGGCGTTATTAATTACGATCGGGCAGAAAAATTGAATATGGCTCCCGGCTCATAACACGATTAAAGATCGCGCGAACAGAAACTAATGGAAACCGCGGACGACGAACTTGTGTATCAAAGCTTTCATGGGGTGCAAAGTGACGGATCCGAGAATAACGAGTGCGACAGCTCGGTCTTAAGCCAACGGCACACGATACTATTTTTCCTACTGGATTCCTTACGAGAGCCAACCAGGATTCAGCTTTGAGTCACCTGATCTAAAACTCTGAATCCTTATTGGATCTCGTAAGCAATCCAGTAAGAAAAATAGTATCGTCTGCCGTTGACTTTAAACGAACGTTTTATTCCCAACCTGTATCGACGTAGCGGCAAAGACAGCATTCGCCGCGTATATGTATCTAATTTGGGAACATGAGGAATGCCGGGCATCGTAGCAACATTAACAACGAGTCGGGGAGAGTGTCGAGTTACGAGGGTTGCGCTGCCGCTTTCAGGTGCGCGAGGAGTTCTCGTCAGCAATAAGCGCGATCGCGTATACCGGCAGTCGTACAAGCCAACCAGCCAGTAAGGCAAAGGCAAAGGCGAGGCGAGGGAAGACAAGGTAGGATATCAGCAAACGGAGAAACAAAGTTTATTTTGAATCAGCCACGGCAACCCCCGGAGTCGCACTGTGCCGGCGAATAGCACCGCGAGTACCGCAGCAGCCGCGTCGCTGCAGGTTCGACGCTCTCCTACCGCAGAGCTCTCCGGCTCTCAACATCGGCTCAGCGGACACAGACAGACAGACAGACAGACAGACAGACGGAGGCGAGGCTCGACCCCGGTAGAGGTGGCCCAGGGGGGGGGGGCAGAAAGGCGGGCATGAATCGAGGGGCAAAGCGAAACGAGGGAGAGACGGGGGCGGGCGTCAGGGAGAGACGCGCGAGGGATGGTCTAGTCGACGATGGTGATTGTTACGGCGACGACGTTTCAGTTAGCTGAAACGTCGTTTCCTTTGTCGCGTCTGTGTGCGAGGGCAGGAACTCGTCCTCGATGAGGTGTACAGACGTGCACGCGTACACCGATGGACGCGCGTAACCACCGCCACCGCCGTCGCCACGTAGCGTACATACAAACAGCCCTCGCACACGTGCGCGGCCGCACTGCGCTACACGCGAGGGGGGGGAGATAACACAAACACCCCGGGTTCCCAGGACTCTCCTCGCTGCGGTACACGCTATCTCACGGAGGGCGGTGGTGGATGTATCTGCTTGCCCGCGCGCGGTATTCGCCGTGCAAACTTCGGGCTGCCGGGGGTTCCTTCTAAGACTTCGCTCGCAGTCGGGCTGCACGACGGCGGGGAACCGTAGAGATCTCGATTCGGGTTAATTGTGAGCTTCGTCTATAGACTCGGGTGCTCGGGCAATGAATTTTAGGAGGCGGTATCGCCGAGAGGACGGACGGGGGGCGGGCGGGGGTGAGCACCGACAAGCGGATATATTTATGCGCGCTCGTGGAAATTCTTCGATCTGATTGCGAGCGCAATTGCCAGGGGAATGAAAACGTCTGCATTTTAGCGAGGCACTGTTTTCAACGCGCTGCAAATAAGACCGCGGTTGTTCGTGAGCACAGCCGGCGTATATATTGCGCTTTACGCTTGATAAGTGAATCTAAGGTAATTAAAAGGGCGCAGCTTGAAAGGGTTTCAACATTTTATAACTGCAAACAGAATGGTATCGAGACGCGAGCGAAGGAGATGTTTTTTTTCCCGCATTTACCGCTCTCGAACTTGCGAGTCGACGCCAAAAGTCTACTATTTCCTATTGTCCGCTTTTATGTTTTTTTGAATCTCCCTCCGTCATACTCTATACTCATGTAACTAGCATTTGACACTTGCGAACTACGCCTTCGTATCATCTACACCTTTTTGTTCTCTCTCGCCTGTGTTCTCCCACGTGCGATAGAAGCTTTTCTTCCGATCGGAATAAATCCATTTATATTCCTTCAATCCGTAATATTGTTGGATATTTTGCCAACCTGAATTGACAGTCAAATTAACATGAGGAAATAAAATTAATTTTAGTCGAAGAGATTGCTGTGATTTTTAGCAACGTTGATAAATTATACATGCAATCAGATTTTATCTTGTCTTCTTATTCGCAAACGAAACTTGAAAGCACAAATATTGGTTCTGAAATTATTCCATCAAACACACTGTGTTTGTAAAAATACAATTTTGGCCAATTTACCTCCGGGCGATGTGCAAGACTGCTATGTTTTAATCCTGCGAATGAAAAAACATATGAAATGTTTGTCTTAAGAAACCGTTAATAGCACGCAACGGAATAAAAACATCCGTATAGCGAGGTACGTTTGTTCTCGGTCTGTTGGCAAAAAGACATCAGTTCATGCGATAGTTTATTATGCTTGGTAAAAATAAGTATTTACATTAACTAAAATGTAAAATGCCCGCAAAGAAACAATACGACGATTTGCAAAAGATCTTAAAACTAAAGACACTTAAATAGAATTAAAAATCCGACTTAACAAAAATATCTCGTCCTATTTACCTTATTTCTAGCTTATATTACGAAGTTGTAACTTGTTTGTATATCTCGGCAAACTATCAATAGTAAATCGGGCTCTCGTCTCACCTGTTCGTTTGCGAAAACAAACTTCGTACGCGAGTATTAATTGATCTCCAAAAAATAATTGTCTCGTCCACACACTTCATCCGCGAACGAAGCTTTCGCAAAATTAACGCGTTTGACACATTCGTTTACAAAGTAATACTTGTTTTTCCTCGTATGTGTGTTGTGTTTCAACTGTATAAATTTTAAAAAAAACATATAAAAAACAAGACAAACACAATTTATAAAAACTGCATCTACTCTGCCTCTACACTCAAATTAAAACTTAACGTTCGCGCTTATCGCCATAAATGATTGACTCTACAACTTTCGAAGTCGCGCTTCGTCCAAGAAGATAACCGACGGCGTGCAACTTCCGCGCGGAATATTAGCACGTCTCCCCATGATTCGACGCGATTTAGCGTAGCCCAGGCGGGCATCTCGGCGGGTTCGCCCGCATGAGAAATAAGGGTCGCGGCCGATGCCTTCCGTGCAGTTTCACGCCGATACGCGTTACCTCGCGAAGATTTGTAAGCGGTCGCGAGCGTGCCAAATGCTGCGGCGGGAAGGGAGCGGAAAGCGGAAGGAAGAGACGTTCCATCGCGTCCGAGGGTGAGATACGGGGGTTGATACGGACGATCTCCGTGCTCGGGACGGAGGGACACGCCGTGCAGACGCTGGCTTGTAGACGTCGCGGAATCGTCCGCGGGGTTTATCGTCCGTTTAATAAAGAGGAGGCGGCGGAAGAATGAAAAACGCAACGTCCGTGCCGACCGACGCGTCTCTCTTCCGATAAATCGATCTCGAGACGGAGCCGTTCTCCAGATTGCACGGCGTCGTGTACCTGCAGTCTTAACACGAGGATTTCGGTAGCGCGGCCGCACGGAGATCAATAAAACGAGCGTTGTTCGGTTCGAACGTACCGTTTTCAAAGTACAAGAAGAAAGAGTATCAAAGCAACGAGACGGGCAAACGGAGCGCGTATCTTGTCGCGTTAAAGAGGAAAAAAAAATAGGGGAAAAAATAGAACGGCCCGATCGAAGTATCTCTCTTTGGCACGGCGTCGTTAAAGAGCGAGCAACAAACTCGTTAGAGAGCGAGCGCGGTCGGACACTAACAATTGGCGTAAGTACATAACTGCTCCGTCTACGGTCGAGTTTTTCCGCGGCAGCGGCAACGGCCGTAATAGCGACTACGTCGTTCCCGTAGTTTTGCGCGCAAAAAAAAAACCTGGCGAAAAAAAGGGAGAGAGCAGGGAGAAGGAAAAAAGAAGTACCGGCCAGTTCTGATCCCGCGTGCGCGCGTCCGGAGCCCTCCGCTTCGAAATTCGCGACATTGATCCGCCTGATGCAACCGAGCCCGGGAGCGCTTGGACAATGGGATGAATGGACTCGAATCACCGTCCTTGGCGAGTGTAACGGGGAGATATTCGAGTGCGCATCGAGTGCGTTGTTGCTGGAGCACGACACGATTTCGCGGAACGGCAGAGAACCGCGCGCTCTCTCTCTCTCTCTCTCTCGGTATGCGAAAACTTTTCGCACCGCTTTATCCGTGCCTCTTCCTTTGTGCGATCTCCCCATGGCTCTCCTCTCGTCAGTGGTAGCGGAAGAGAATATCTCTCTTTCTCTCTCTTGCTCGCTCGCTCGGCAAGGATCGCAAATCTTTCAGAGGCGGGCTGTACAAGCACCTATATACGTGCAATCGACTTCAAAGTCCCATCCCTTCCCTCTCTCGCTCCACTTTTGGATAAATCCCTTTTGTTCATTACTATTTGTTCGTCAAATGTCAAATTGAACGCCGTAGCAGTAATCGGACGCGACTAATTGGCTACGCTCCCCCGTTCCCGATTCTTCTCGCCGTGTCAAAGCGTGTCACGGCGAGTCCTCGCCACGGCGGATTTGGCTACGGCGATCCCTCATCCGATTATCTACTTCCTCACCGGCCACGGCCCGGTCCAGGGATACACGTTAACCCTTAACCCTTGACCGGCGACGCTCGCGTCGCCGCGCCTCTCTTTACCCGTCCGTATACCCGTCGCGAAGACAAACGAGAAACAATCTGTGCGTACCGGGCGCGTCTTACAAAGTAACGAGTTATACGAAAGACGCGGTCGTAAAATATACAACGGTTCACACCTCGACGGTCTCGTGGTCGGCGAGTGTGTATCACATGTTAAACGCCGTCGTGTCCTTTTGATTCTGATTATCATGGCAGTGCTCAAGGTAGTTCGCCAGCCAAAAATTGACACCGCGCTGCTGTCAACGGTTGCAAACGGGGAACATGCAGAATTCACGATCCTGACCCGTTCGGAGAGAAAAATCAACAACTCAATCCACTACGGAGAAAATTAAGAGAGAGAAAAAAAAGACACTTAAGTCGGTCATATATCGGTTTAACAATATTATTTTCTGCGCCGTCCATACGCGGTCCTTAAACCCTGCCTCCACCGTCTCTTCCTCCAGCCCCTCCTCCCGCTGACTAGTGTGCTATTTATCATGCGACGCCCGTGAGCTCCCTTTTCGTGGTCTCAGGCGTGCCGTGACTATCTCAAAAGCAGATGGAGCGTGCCCAGGCAGAGTATTGTCACAAACGTCATCGTGTGCATGTCGCTTCCGTTCTCCGAGGTTACTGCAACACATGTTAAAAAGAAAAAGTTACCATTTCTCGTCATCCTGTCAAACGGCGAGAGCCGTTTCTAGAATGTTAATTATCAGTGATTTCTAGCGGGAGAGACAATTTGTAGTACCGAATGAAGGTACTGCGTGCAGTCGAAATATTTATATTACACGCTCAAGTGTAAGAATTAATTCATCGCGGTTTTATACTAGACATTTGAATATTTGTATAGCGTAAGTGGATTCGTGAATTGTTAAAATATCTTGGCAACTTTTTTATGATATTCAGCCCCTTTAGATATTACGTATATCAATATTAGAGACAAAATTCTGCTCTATTAATGCTGTATTTTGAAAGAAAACTATAAGCTGCGCATCGAAATTGCATTGAAAGGAATAACAAAATTTTCCTGTAATACTGCAGTGTCCAGTTGAAAAAAAAAGTTAAAAAACTTAATCCAATATAATAGATCATCACTTTTTCAACTCCCCTGGCGTTCTCTTGTAACAATCTAGAATTAAAACTATGCATTGAAAATGGATTATGGTTTTTATTATTCATCATATTATAAAATAAAAAAAAGGATCCAATAAAAAAGATAAAGCTTTTCCAAGTTGAACATTTCGCCGCAAGCTCTACGCTGCATTCGAATTTCTAGTATCTTTGCAGTACAGAATTTATATGCGCTACGTGGTCTCTATTTGCACGGGACGATGGCACGTATCGGCGTGTCGTCCTCGTTGAAACTTAATTCTTTTTTTTTTAGGGTGGGAGGGCAAAGAGCTTTTTTGCATTAAATGATTTACACGGAAATCCGCGCGGAGTGTATCGTAAAAAGTGAGACCGATGAGCCGAATGATGATGCCTGGCGTGACCGGATTATTGATTGGGTAAACACATTCTGCATTACACTTCGTATCATTAAAACGTCATCATTATGCTGGGCGACATTCAAAATCGACAAGCCTATAATCAATAACAGCGACGATAATGACACGTGTCTCCGTCGGACGAAATGCGCAGGAAATCTGATGAATAGATATCAAATTCATCGAGAAATGTGTCGCCGATAATCAGTTGATTTTAGTTCGGTTTGTACATTATCGGTATCATGAATATAACACACGTGAAAACTAAACGCGCATGGACATTCGGCGCGATTCTAACGTTGACATGTTGACAGATATGCCACGTGTGAATATTATTGTAATTCAAAATACCCGTAACGCATCGGTACATTTCACACAATAACGTAATCATACTACACTTAACCCGCTTGCTTCCTGTATGCAAACCGTAGGAGAATGGCCGAATCGTTAAAAAAAATACCATGTTGTAAAGAAATTGTCTAAAATTCTAAAATGTTGCTAAAAACTAGAAAAAGAGATTAGAAGAAAGAAAATTACTGAAAAAATATTGTGTATGTTGAAAGAAACAAAATAATTATAAAATGCTTTTAATGACAACTGTACAGTGATGGATTGCGACAAAATTTTTTTAAATAAGTTGAGGAACGCATATTTAGATTAAAGGTTTAAAAATCTTCTTTTCCGAGGAATATTTTACTGGATGGCCATTCCGAAACCATTTTGAGCGTTTCCGATCTATTTCTCGAGTAAAGTTTTCCTCAGAGAAAACTGTTTTGGAACTTAATCCTGAATCTAAATACGCGTTCCTGAACTCATTTAAAAAAGTGCCGCAGCCATTCTGTCCATCACTTTTTAACGAGTTTAAGAACGCGAATTTAGATTGAAGGTTCCACAATTTTCTCCGAGGAATATTTTACTCGATGGCTATTCCAAAACCTTTTTGAACGTTTCCGATCTATTTCTCGAGTCGAACTTTCCTCGGAGAAACCGTTTTGGAACGCAAACCTGAATCTAAATGCGTTCCTGAATTCATTTAAAAAAGTGGCGCGATCATTCTGTCCATCAATTTTTAATGAGTTTAGAAACGCGCATTTAGATTCGAAGTTCCACAATCTTCACCGAGGAATATTTTACTCAATGACCATTCCGAAATATTTTAGAACGTTTCCGATCTATTTATCGAGTAAAACTTTCCTCGGAGAAACTGTTTTGGAACGTAAACCTGAATCTAAATGTTCCTAACTCATTTAAAAAAGTGTCACAGCCATTCTGTCTACTACTGTACACGAGCCTTTTACGCATATTTTAGGATTTTGACAATCAAAGCTGTCGAATCAAGAATCAAGTCCTTCTCCTTAAGAGTCTGTAAAAGATTCAAATGAATATAATTTTTTTTTTTATTTGAAACTGTTCCACGAGCAATTCATAATCGTAAGACACATTTGGAAAAGAATCGCGCTTCTCCGTTCCTTCCTCAGTTCGGTAGATACCAGATAAAGGACTATATTTAAAATAAGTTGAAAGTATATATATATGTATGGGTTATTGGGGAGCGATTTCGCGTAAAACGACATTTTTCTTCCTGCTCGAGATTAAATCTCTCTGGCAGGGCGCGGCGTGTCAACTGTTGAAATCCCTTTCGGAATGGAAAGTCTGACACGAGGGAGGGGGAGGGTGGTGCCATTAAGTGGAACGTCAGTGGATTTTCCTCCGCGGGGCATTGTTCCTTCTGTCGGGTAGAAAAGTCAATTTCCTAAAAACAATTCTGTCGACCACGGCCCAGGGAGTAATACGTACGAATCAAGCGACCAGCCGCCCGCGGAAAACCGGGTGTGAACGAAATGAAATTACTACGGGCGCGGAAGAGAACGAATTTCTGTAACGGCGGCGCGCGGGAGGCGGTAAAGGGGGGGACTAAAGTGGAATATAGCCCCGGCTGGTTTGAAAATTGAGAAGAGCCAAAATCCTTCGGTCGCTTATCAATCGTCGGGGGTTTACGCTCCCCCAGTCTGCTCCCATCACATTTATCCCAAAATGTACGAGAGTTTTGGGACAACCAGCGCGACGGCGAAATCGCGAACGCTCGGTTCCGAGATAGCGACCCGATAGCGATCGTTGATATTACTTTTGGAATATTCCACTCGCACATAAAAAAAAAACGTCGTATAATCTGATCATCTCTGACGGTTGATATAGCATGCTATGCCGTACGCAATACTTTTTTATGCATATTTAAATATCCTACGAAATACTGATATGCCAGAATATCCCGTGGACATTGAAACATTCCTCTCGACTGCGGGCTGTTTGACCATTTTAAAGTTGATTTTCCATTCCGCTCCAAGTTTGCTAAAGAATTTATAATCGGGGAAATCCGATGTGAAGACGCAACACACACTTTCTCTTTGTATTAATTTCGCGTGAATATGCATGGGATAAACGTCGAGCAGACTTATACGGAATTGCTCCAGATACATATAATATTTATACAAAAAGTGTACGCGTAGAGTAAAGTCGCCCGACGACGGAGGGAAACTTTCGCGAACTTCGCAAACGCGGAATCAGACTTTTCGCGTGGGGCGCAAAAGAGAAAAAAAAATGCGACGTGTGCGTAAGCACAGCTTATGAGGTATCATTCATGGATTTTCGGTAAGAGCCTTTTGAGAGGGATTGAAAGGCTCGTACGCCACGGCCTGAAAAGTGCGCGGAGTCTGGGCCGCGACGAAATTCAGAGGGTCCTTGATGTAAAAACTCTCCAGGCAACTTCATGAGCCGGTGCTCGTAAGTTCGTGACACGAGTCCTCGGAAAGTTTCGGGGAAACGATTTACTTAGAGTACAACCGAGGTGCGTTTCAGTCGTACCGCATACTTTATCACTCGTATGCATGAAAATCTCGGCGCAATGCAGCGGCAAAATTGTCAAAAGTTATTCCTGTAAGACGCATACGGTAACGAGCGAAATTTCTATCCGTTACTGTTCACGACTTCGCCCGTCGTCCGTACACTTGCTCGCCCGACAGCGAGTTGTACTGTATTTTTAAATTATTTATCTCTTAAAATAACGAATACTTGATACACTTAAATCGTTTTATGTTATCAACTTATTCAACTACACTGTAAAAAAAAAGATACGTAAAATTACGTATGTACATAATGAGCGCAGCAATTACACTATTAATAACGGGAATATATTGTATGCATAACGTCACACCGAATTGTGCGTTGCATTTTGTTTACGAGCGTGTCTCGTCTTGCTGATAAGTTTTTAAATTTCTACTTTTGTTGGCTTTTTGTTTGATACTCTTATTACTTTTTTTTTCATTGTGTATCCGTCATGTAACTACTCATTATCTTCCCCAACTCTGATAAGGGTGGGGGTTTCACAGCAGCAGTTACGCTCTTGCGTGCTATCCATCTTGTAACAGTTGTACACTCGATATTCTTCACTGTACATTATGCATCGCGATAAGTTATTACTGCTATTATAATAAATTTATGTACTTTTACAAAATTTCTTTTTTTCTATTCTTTGTTGTGTAAATACGCGTTTATATTTAACGGGAATTACAAAAAAGTAAAAATTACAATATTATTAGAGCAAGCTACTTACTTATTTATTGAGTAATAATTTTAAAAGATATAAATTTACAGACGCATGTAAATATACACCTTTAACAGATGGTCCCAATATTATCTACTACAATAGTTGTAATTTTACGTGAAATTCTTTTACAGTGTAGGGGCTGTGGAAAATTCAAAATCAAAATTTTGTACCAATTTATATCAAGAAAATAATGCACAAACAAATAGTGCAGCAGAATAAGAAATAATGTATGTACGTACTATAACAACATTATAACGTAGAGAGCAAAATTGTTATACTATTTGCGTGAAAAACATTTTGTTACTTAGAGCGTGCATGACGCACGTAAAGTTTCGAATGTAGATAAATTTATTTTCGCGAGGAACAAGCTTTAATCGAAAAGCTCTCATTTTCCATGTCTCGCGGTAATCCATTTATTTTCCGGCGCTCGAAACTAATCGGATATTCACAAGTAATCAGAAACTCAGTAAAGTTCGACGTAAACCAATAAATTGCAGACACCTGAAGATGGGTTCGCGCACAACTTGAGAACAGAATCC